TTTTTTATATCACAAAATAACAAAAATAATAATTTTTTATTGAGATTTAAATTGTTAATTGAAGACTTATTAATAATGTAATTATAATATTTAATTACTCCATTTACTTTCAAAATAATAAATAAAAGACAAGTAAAAATAAATTAAAAATTGGCATCCATTGCTGCATCAATATTACTTTCTATATTCATTTATTTTTGTTTTGATGGAATATATTTAATTATTAGCATACCTCAATTTGAGACCGTCTATATATACTCTCCTTGAGTACTCTACTGTACCAAACGAAGATATGAGGATCTTCACAAAGCTCTCTGCACCACTCTGCCTCCTTTTCGTCTTCCTCTGTCTTAAAACTGCCTTCTCATCCTCTATACATGCTTCTTCCTTCTCAACAACGCATCTCTGCTCTCATGAGGAGGCTCTTGCTTTGCTGCAATTCAAGACATCCTTCTCCATCGATTACACTGTTCCGTATCCAGATTATTGTGCCAATCATTTTTATACTAAAGCTAATTATTCTAAGATTGAGTCATGGAAGGAAGGTATAGACTGTTGTTCCTGGGATGGGGTTAGCTGTGATAATGTCACAGGCCATGTAATTGCCCTTAATCTCAGCTGCAGTTTCCTTTATGGCACCTTTCCTTCCAACAGCACTCTTTTCTTCCTCAAAAACCTGCAGAGCCTCAATCTTTCCTTGAATGATTTTAGGCATTCCAAGATTCCATCGGAAATCAGTCAGTTTACTAGACTAAAGCATCTTGATGTCTCTTTTTCTCGATTTTCGAGCCAAGTTCCGGGAGAAATTGCTTACCTCCCCAAGTTAGTTTCTCTCAACCTCTCTTGCAATTCTTTTGACTTGATCCTTGAAACAACTACCTTGAGATATCTTGTTCAAAATTTGAGTGAGGTGAGAGAACTTGTGCTTAGTGGAGTGAACATGACATCTGTTAATCCTTGTTCCTTCATGAATCTCTCTTCTTCATTGACTACTCTTGTTCTTTGGGAGAGTGCATTAAGAGGAAACTTTCCAAACAGTATTTTCAGCTTTCCAAATCTCAAGAAGTTTTATTTAAGTGGAAAGCAAAACCTCAGTATTGATCTTCCAAGTACCAATTGGAGCAGTCCTCTCCAACAGTTGTATTTAGGTGATATGGATTGCGGAAGGCGATTGCCAGAGTCTATAGGAGATCTAAAGTCATTACAGTATCTGCATCTTCACTGCAACTTTGAAGGTTCCATTCTAGCTTCCATAGGGAACTTATCTCAACTTACTTACCTAAGCATCTCTTATAACAATCTCAGCGGACAAATCCAATCATCACTTGCAAACCTCACACAACTTACCTCTCTTTACCTTTTCAATAATCAGTTTTCTGGTCCCATTTTAGCTTCCATATGTAACTTAAGGCAACTTACTAGCCTATTCCTCTCTTCTAACAATCTTAGTGGACAAATCCCATCATCACTTGCAAACCTCACCCAACTTACCTTTATTGACCTTTCCAATAATCAGTTTTCTGGTCCCATTCCAGCATCCATAGGTAACTTAAGGCAACTTACTAGCCTATACCTCTTTTCTAACAATCTTAGTGGACAAATCCCATCATCACTTGCAAACCTCACCCAACTTACCTCTCTTCACCTTTCCAATAATCAGTTTTCTGGTCCCATTCGAGTTTCCATAGGTAACTTAAGGCAACTTACTAGCCTATACCTCTATTCTAACAATCTCAGTGGACAAATCCCATCATCACTTGCAAACCTCACCCAACTTACCTCTCTTTACCTTTCCAATAATCAGTTTTCTGGTCCCATTCCATCTTCCATAGGTAACTTAAGGCAACTTACTAGCCTATACCTCTCTTATAACAATTTTAGCAGACAAATCCCATCATCACTTGCAAACCTCACCCAACTTACCTCTCTTCACCTTTCCAATAATCAGTTTTCTGGTCCCATTCCAGCTTCCATAGGTAACTTATCTCATCTAACTGACCTAAGCCTCTCTTCTAACAATTTTAACGGACAAATCCCATCATCTCTTACAAACCTCACACAACTTTGCTATCTCTTCCTTTCTTATAACTTACTTAATGGCACGTTGCCACCTTGGATTTTCACCCTACCTTTGTTAGAGTACTTGTATCTCAATCATAACCAATTTCGAGGTCAAATAAATCAATTCCAGCAAAACTCACTCACACACCTAGATTTGTCAAACAATAAACTCCAGGGCTCAATTCCTAACTCAATTGCTAATTTAGTAAATCTTAGTTATCTCAATTTATCATCAAATCATTTTAGTGATTTTGTAGTGCTTGACATGTTCTCGGCGCTTCAAAATCTCGAAATTCTTGACCTTTCTCATAACAACTTAACCGGAAAGATTCCAAATTGTCTTCCTAAGTCTCTCTCAGTGTTGAATTTGCAGGCCAATTACTTTGATGGAAATATAGCATTTGGGTTTCCAGAGGGCTGTGGATTACGAAATCTCAATTTACATGGAAATCAAATGGACGGCTTATCACCAAGGTCTTTGGTGAATTGTCGCATGTTAGAGGTTCTAGACGTTGGCAACAACAGCATAAGTGATACATTCCCTTATTGGTTGGAATCTCTACCAGACCTTCAAGTGCTTGTCTTAAGGTCCAACAAGTTCCATGGTTCTGTGCAGAGCACCAAAGAAAGTCCATCTTTTCCCAAGTTGCGAGTTCTAGACCTCTCCAGCAATTATTTTGTTGGTGCTTTGCCTGTTCGGTACATTGAAAATTTTAATGCGATGATGGACCCTCATAAAGATGGTGGTTCCCCTGAATACATGATGGTGTCGACAGGAGCCAATTCTTATCAGTATTCACTAGTTGTGACATGGAAGGGATTCGACTATGAGCTGCAGAAAATCTTGACCATATTCAGTAGTATTCATCTCTCAAATAACATGTTTGAGGGAGAAATTCCAGATGTTATTGGAAAGCTTAGTTCTCTCAAAGGGCTTAATCTTTCTCATAACAACCTTACTGGTCATATCCCACCGTCACTAGGGAATTTGACGAATCTGGAATGGTTGGATCTCTCTTCCAATGAGCTGGCAGGGAAAATTCCTGATGAATTGGTATCTTTGACCCAACTCTCTGTATTGAATCTTTCAAATAATCATCTCATCGGACGCATACCACAGGGCAATCAGTTCAACACCTTTGGAAATGGTTCTTATGAAGGAAACCTTGGACTGTGTGGAATCCCATTGTCAAAATCTTGTGATGGAATTGGGACATCGCCGAGCTCCTTCCAAGAAAAAGATGAGTTGTGGAGATTTGGCTGGAGAGTTGTGGTGTTAGGCTATGGATGTGGAGTTGTTTTTGGACTGCTGATGGGATATCATGTCTTTCGAACAGGAAAACCAAAATGGTTTGTGTCTTTGTTTGATGGCCGACAAAGTCAAAGTGGAAGGAAGATGAGGAAACCCAGAAGAATTGTTGAAAGAAGAAGCTAGTTGCAGAGTTGATGTTTTAGAGCTTCTGATTTAATGTTTCCAGAATAAGTGCTTTTCGGTTTGAAGTTCTTGTTATGGCTGGCATTGGCTTGTCTAAAATTGTCAGCCTTCTCTTGTCTTTATTATGCTTTGTAATTTTGTCTTTCTTTATTGTAAAATATATTTGAAGGTTCAAGCTGTTAATCTTCCTTTATTAATGTACTTCCTTAAGCCAGTTGGTATCAAACTGGAAGTGAAGGTATGTCAAGTTCCATTCTTTATAGTTTTGTTCTTGAGATTCTCATTAGCACAGCCATAAAAATTCTTGCTTTACATCTTCGGACTGAAGGGGAAGTTTGAATTTTGAGATGGGATTTTGATGGAATCATTTCATAATCGTGGAATCTGGATTTTGGAATGGTTATCGTTGTAGGGATATAACTGTAAGTGTAAAATTGGGAAGGGCAAGTCTTGTGATTTCGGCTTCAGTTCCTCTCTCCCACTTGGTCACTGGCTTTCATACATAACCCAACGGACATTATCAGCATCACAGACTCAACTCACTTTCACCTCTTTAATTAATACCCATATTATCTTCTCTCAACCTCTATTTTTATCTTATCATTTAGCATGTACAGTTTCAACAAGAAATAGAATTGGGAAAGAGAATACAATTTTGGGTTTTTTTTTTGTTTTTTTTTTTTTAAGTTTTGGAAAGTAAATACAATTTTTGGGTTTTTTTATTTTTTATTTTTTATTTTTTTTTAACATTTTCCTACAGCTATAATTATTGTGGGGGTTGTGGCACTTGAATCCGCTGTCATCAATTGACCCTTCTTCATTTTTGGATCCAAGTGTTCCTCTTTCATGCAACACAATCGAAATTTGAAATGCTCAATAACATTTTCATCCAAAAGTAATCACTTTCCATGTCGTGTAGTCTCCAGTTGTTTCAATCCGTCCATTTTTGGTGGAATTTACAATTTAAGATTGCGGAGATCCGGTATTATTTGCGGTAGAGCTCATCTGAGATCGTTAAGTGAAGAGAACAATGATATGGGTGGTGACCAAGATGTGGTTTTAGGCCTGGATTTGAAGTCTTTAAAGATTTTGCTGAAGCAAGGAGCCTTTATTTGGGCAATGCTTTGTCGTCTTTTGGTTTTCACGTGCAAGAGAGTGCTTGCGGGAGAGGGAGTGGTGAATGCAGGGTACAGAGTGATTGAGCAGTGGGCATTGTTGTTGAGGAATGCGTGGCCTAAGGTTTCTATGGTTCTTAAGATTTTCAAAGAGCAAGGTGTGATTCTGGGCGGGTACGACAGCAGACTTAAAATATATTTGAAGGTTTAAGCTGTTAATCTTTCTTAGTTGTATATGCATGTCCAATTAATCTATTTCCTTTAAGCCGGTTGGTATGGTGGCAAACTGGTAGCGAAGATATGCCGAGATTCCCATTAGCAGACTCATAAAAATTCTTGCTTCACATTGATGGGCTGAAAGGGAAATGCGGAAGTTTGGATTTTGATGGAGTCATTTCATAAGTGGGGAATCTTGATTTTTGGATGGTTATTTCTTGGGGATATAACTGTCATTGTCATGTTGGGAAGGGTAAGTCTTATGATTTGGGCTTCGGTCTCTCTCTCGCACTTACAATAGAAAGAATCCAATGGAAGTAGCCTCCATTTCCACAGGTGAAGGGAAATTATCTCCATTTTCACAGAATCACCTCAATTTCACCTCTTTAGGGTTCCTCTTCTATTATGAATCCATCTGCAGCAAATCCATCAATACCCATCCTATTCTCCCTCAACCTCTGTTTTTACTTCGTCACCTAGCATGCTCAATTCCAACGGAAGGAAGGAATAGGATTGGGAAAGGGCATACAATTTTGGTTTTTTTTTTTCTTTTTTGTGAATTTTTAACATTTTCCTTCAGCTATGACTATTGTGGGGGCTTGAGGCACCTAAATCCGCTGTTATCAATCGACCCCCCTTCATTCCGGATCCAAGTGTTTGGGTTTCGTGCAACACAATTGAAATTTGAAATGCTCAATAAAATTTTCATCCAAAAGTAGTCACTTCCCATGTCGTATCGTCTCCAATTGTTTCAATCCGTCCATTTTTGGTGGAATTTACACTTTGAGATTGTGAATACTTGGCATTGTTGGTCCTAGAGCTCTTCTGAGATCGTTGAGTGAAAAAACAATGATCTGGGTGGTGACCAAGGTGAGGTTTTAGGCCTCGATTTGGAGTCTCCGAAGATTTTGCTGAAGTGGGGGGTCTTTCTGGGGGCGATGTTTTGTGGCTTTTTGGTTTTCTGGTGCAAAAGGGTGCTTGCGGTGGAGGAAGTGGTGAATGCAAGGTACGGAGTGATTGAGCAGTGGGCATTGTTGTTGAGGAATGCATGGCCTAAGGTTTCTACGGTTTGTAAGATTTTCAAAGACCAAGGTGTGATTCTGACTGCACTTTAGGTCTATCTGCATTATTCTCAATGGCAGAGACTTTATAACTACACTTGTGGCCATGGAATGTTTGCTTTCTTTGTTTGATGATTGATGATTCTTGTAATTAGTGAATAGCAATTGAAATTTGAATTTTAGTATGGAAATATCGAAAATTTTGGAAAGATAAAATATATGAAGTTGA